TATAAAAGCGTTGTATATTAAAAAGTTTTTTTTATATTATTTATTTTCTACTTTTTAGTCCTGTCTGAATAAAATTTTGCAATAGATTTAAAATAATTCAACGATATTAATAGAAAGGTGCACACACATGCATTTACATATGTACATACAAACGAGCACCAATTAATTTTATTTAAAGAAATGGCGTGTCGTCTAATTCCGCCGATATGCGTGTATAAACCCTCCTCAAAGTCTAGCCAAAAAGCCAGCAACTCACACAACAGGTTCCCCAGAGCAAATCGCTCGAGAAAGTGGTACCCGGTACACGTAATACGCGGCACACAGCACAACAATCCGCCAAAACAGGCAACCCGGCCCAAAATTACCACCGTAGAAGGCAGAAACCCCGAGCGGCAGTGCAGGAGCCCAAGAATTACCCTTAAAACGGCCACAGGAGCTTAAAAAGACCAACTGATCCCCAACTGGGCCGAAGGTAAGTAGTTTCGGACTAGTCCCAAACTGATTCCAACTGGTTCCCGGACTGGTCCCCGACTGGTTACCAACTGGTCCCACGAACTAGTTACCAACTGGTCCCAAAGTGGTTACCAACTGGTCCACCTATACCTCAAGTGGTCCACAAGTCACTTCACTTACAAAGCATTCGATTTAGTTGACAATAGTCAAACTAATTCTATTTCCGGTGTAGCAAACGTAGTACATAGATGTCATCTACCTCGCCCTATTCACTATGCTTTTTTATAGGAGCTTTTCAAAGCTTTGCTTTGGTGTCGGACACACAACATTGAAAGCTTCTGGATCCACAACATTGAAAGTTTCTGGAACACAACATTGCAAGTTGATAAAAGCGTTGTAATAATAAAATGAGCAACATCATTAGCAAAAAAATTGTCAAAAATCAACGGTAGATCAAAGCCACTTAAAACTTGCACTTTATTATATTAAAATTGGGTGGGATATAAAACTCCATACTCAAAAAAATTCTAAAAAATTGTGTTCAAAAGTTGAAAATTTTGATGAAAATTTGAGGAATTTTCCTAAATTTTGTAAAAACTTTGAATAATTAATTTATATGCTATTAGATGCAGAATGAACTATATTTATATTAAAAATTAACGAAAAAATGTATTACGAAAAACATTGCAAATATTAAAAAAAAAACACTGTACGGATACATATTCTGGTGAGTGTATAAGCCACGCTCTTGACAGTTATATATATAAATACATACATACATACATATGTATACATGTATATACGTCGTATATCGGAAAGCTTGGTTATAGCGATACCGATGAATATGTGAATATATCGATAATGATAATATTTGATCTAAAATTAAATCTTTAAATATATTTATAATGAAATTGGCAAATACATATATCGATAAAATGATCAGCAAATATATCGATGTATATTCAATATTTCGATTATCTTGTCAAATTGTATTTAAAATGGAAATTTTAAAAAGATATACATACATGGTTATAAGTAAAAATAACCACTCGTGCTCATATACCCGTAGTTGCGTATGTAACGTATACGCCCCGTAGCACCATTCGCAATCAACCAACACGTTTACTCGAACGCCTTAACTTAAAAGCCCTATTGGTTAAAAGTAATTAAATATTGGCGTAGAAGATTTTTACACAATTTTCCTTATGCACATATATACTATGTTTTATAATACTTTCTTCATGTATATAACAATTTTAGATCAAATTTCGAGTGCACCAATAAAAGTTGTACACATGGAATTTCAGTTTCTCTAATCATAGTAACCTTTTACTCAATGTGGATAATGTTTTTTCACTAGGTGGCACAACAGCTTCATTACACTACATTCGTTCGTTTTAGCAAGAAGAAAAATTTCAACGTTTAATTATAAGATTTTGAAGTAACTTAAATTAAAAAGAAAAAACTGCAAAACAGCAGCGACAGATATTCTGCATGATGCATTTTTTTTTGTAATTTCCTGGTAAACTTTTGAAACAGATATGTCCATTGCCTCTTCTATAAATATTCTATTTGAAAACTACCCAAAGTTATTAAAAAAAAAGCAATTATGATTTTGTCGGGTTACAATGAAAAAAACATATTGATGATGATATTGATAGCTATACCTATGCACATGTTTATCGATAGTAATTTTGTTTCAATTAAATCTATAAAAAATTGATAATAAAAGCGATCATTATATCGATAACATTGTATGCAAAAATATCGATATTATATCGACAACAAATTAATTTTTTTGCTTTTAAATTCTACGCGAATGTACAAGAATGTTATTTGAAAGTTTGAAGCTAGTCTCATAGTTTGAAGATCAAATCTGATTCCACTTCGATATTAGCATATCGATACCTATGTACATAAATATGTATGTATTTATACACTAGTGTTGTGACGCTTCAAAACTGGCCTCAATATTGTTAGTGACATTGACAGAGCAAAACATTCCCAATGCTGCTGCATACCTGTCACAATTCATAGCAAGCCGAACAGAAGGATCATCTGTGTGGTGAAATTTTTGTCGCATCGCCGATGGTGCTAGTGTGCATTAGCGAAATATTTAATAAAAACATACTTACCTACGCTCCGCCAGTCATAGTGGCATTTTAAAAGCAATATCGCAGTTTGCGGTTGCGTCAAAACGCAGCAGCAGCTCAGCAACTGCAAGCAGCAAAGAAAAACATACAAACACGCATACATATACATATAAGCAAATGCGAAACAGCCAGTCCAGACAACAGGCTACACAATAAGCCACTCTCATTTAAGCCTGGCTGTGCCGGCTAGTTAGGCCAGTTAAATTGCTCAGAAGACAAAATCGTGACCGGCTGTTGTTTTGCCTCGTTGTTATTGTGTTTTTGCCTCTTGCCTTTGCTATCGATGCTATAAGTATCTATGTATGTATTTTACTCAATGCTGTTGTCGCCAATTCTCTACCTACAAGTAAGCCAACCTACGCTCAGTCACAGTCACAACCACTGCTACGGCCTCTGTCATCAACGCCACCACCCACACAGACGTACATACATACATACATACATACACACTAACCTTACGCCATGCAAGCAGCTATACATACAAACATATACATAGTTAAGTTTGTGATCATAAAAGCTTGGCAGCTACTTTTGCTTTTGGCTCACTATACTATAATTCACACAGCCACACTCTGTCTGAGCTGGCTGACGACTGCATCCACATTCACCAACTTTGTTGACGCTCGGTATAAGCTCCACTGAGCTTCGCTGCCTGCGTTGGCTCTATTTGCCTGCTGCGCGTTTGTCTGCTTCATAGCTCCACGGTTTGGCCATAAGCTGTGCTATGTGTGTGTGTGTGTGTGTGTGTGTGTGCTTGTATTGCTGCTTGACTTTGCCTTTTGCTCTGTCTCGGCTGTTCGTCGTTGTTTTTACACGATTTTTGCATTGGGGGCTTCCTCGCTTTTGCGACCTTTTTGGATGCTTTTGCTCCATGGTTTTGCTGTTGGACGCCACTGTCGTTACTGTGTGCTGCTGCTGAGGCCTGTTGGCAGCTGCCTTGTGTGCTGGCGTGTTTTTGTGCGATTTGCTTTGCTTTGGGGTATCATCGCTGTGGCCGTGTACGGCCTGCTTCAGTCTGTCGTTTGACGTGCACAGAGGCGGCATTGGAACGGACTAGCAAGTGTGATTCTATTCGATTCGTTTGCGAACGGCATACAAACGTGCGTTTCCCTCGTAATCGACAATCTCGTTGGTTGGTTGGTCGTTGTTGGCAACGGTCGGCATTCGAAGTAGTAAAAAAAAAATAATAAAAGTTGAAGAGATGAAGAAGATCTAAAAAATAAAATAAAAAATCCAAAGTTGTTGATATTTGCAAGTTGGAATGAAGATTTTATATATACATACATACATGTGTACACAAATGCAAATAAAAAAGCAAAAGTTATAAATAAAACGAATTAGTGCGGCAGTGAAAGAAATTCCATTATTGATAAAAAGGCGCGCGAATTTCGGTTCGTTGACGTTTTTTTTGCTCTGATTTTTGTGCTGCTCAAAACGAAGGTGGGTGATGCTGAATTTTGTGATAATGCAAAAAGTGTGTGAATCAATCGTAATTATTAGTAAATATGCATATATGTTTAATAAAAACCAGTGTCAAGAGGATTAGTGAAAATTTATCAATGTCAATCTAGATACATACATACATACATGCATTGAATGTAAGCAGACATCAAAATATATTTACATATGTACATATTTGTATATGTACGAAAAAAGTATTTACCTCAATATCAAAGAATAAAGTGTAATTTCGATTTCTTAAAAACGTCTCGAAATTTATGATTTATATTGAGTTATTAAAGTTTTAATTTATAAAGAAGACTGTGAAATGGATTTATTTTTAGTGATTCATCCTCCAGAACAAAGCGTATTTAGCGATGAGCATGAGGAGGAAGAAAATATCCATGTGAATGAGTGAAAGATAAAAATATATGCCGGAACAAAGTATAGGCACAGCAAATTTTTCACAATATATGCAACAATTTTCATTCTAATATTTTTCCGCTAATTTCGTTTGAAAATATGGTTCATTCTACAATAAAAAACATAAAAATATAATTCGTAAACTTTGTGCAAAACTCGCGAGAATTCTGCAAATTTTCATGAAAGTTTTCAACTTTTTAATCAGATTTTTTAGAATTTTTTCGAGTATGCAGATTTGTAGCTCAATCAATTTTATTAAAAGTATATAAAGTATAATTTTTAAGTAGCTAGGAATTACCGTTGATTTTTGAAATTTTTTTTCCCGCAGTCTCTTCCATTTTTGTTCGAAAATATGTACTTTATATGGAAAAAATGCAAATCACCTTCAACAAAAAAAATTCTCAAAAATCAACGCGATTTTTGACTAACTCCGAACGAGCATTTTTTTTACTAGAAAAAGTCTGATTAAAAAGTTGTAAAGCTATAAATTGCTTTACACTAATCTTTGGCCAAGTATGCCTGGTAGTATGGCAGGTGGTTTCCACAGACCACCTGGTATTTACCTTTTCGATGAGTTCAGCCTTTAGGCTGTGTTTGCAGGAGGTTAGAGGTATGCCCGATATTTCTATCCCCCTACTTGGCAGCTCGTCGGCTGGGCAGTTTCCAGGAATGTCCCTGTGTCTAGGGAGTATTATACAACAGTCAAGGAGTATTATAATGCCAGCAGGCTGAGAGTCTTCCTGCATTCTAAGGCTACTTTGGACGTGTTTTCGTTAGATTTGAAAGCACGCTGGCTGTCAGAATAAATAGCGGTAGGCCATCCTGGAGGGGCGAAGGTTATGAGCAACCAAGCCGCGTTTACCTCTACTTGAAAAACGCTACAATGGTCCCGTAAGCGAAAATTGACGTTTAGCGCGAACTCGTCAGATTTAATCCTGCTACCCACCCTTGTTTTTAGCTTGAAACCATTTTTATATATAGCCGTATACACTGGTTTACGTCTGTTTCAAGTAATTTTGCGTGCCAGAATCTGAGGTCTATCCACGGCTGGATCGCATTTAACCTGGCTGCACTGCAGCCGGCCCGAAATATGCTGTAGAGATCCACAGGTGGAAGATTTAACATTATTTCCAGAGATTTTGTGCGTGTAGTGGGTAGTGCTCCCGTGGCGAGCATGACAGCCGTCCTCTACGCTCGTTTTATCTTGGCTCTGGACCACCATTTTGGAATTTTCCAATTTTAAAACACCAATGTTATCCACAAATAAACGAAGCATCAACTTTGTTTCTGTTGTTTCAATAACTTTTCGGATGCGTTTTGGAAAAGTATGTATACATTGTAAACCACCTGTAGTTCGGCATTATAAAACATTAGATATACTTTAAGTATGCAATGCAATTCACGTTTTGGAAGTCAGCCAGTATTCTCTCTTGTTAAGCTTAAAATTATATTTCCTTACTGGGAGCAATTGATTTATGAATAAACTAATAAAACTAAAATTTTTTTCATGTCTGTACAAAAAATTTAAATAAATTGCAAGCTCCAAGTGATCGTAATTTGGTTCACCTGTTAAACTTTTTGCAATTGAATGACTAAGTACCTGCCCCAAAAATCGTTAACTTCATCAATCAGTTGAGCGTGTAATTGTTTTTGCTGCTAGGATGTTGTCATTATTATTTCACAGACTCCGTATTATTTATTCAACACTGCTGATGACATTTGCTAAATTGCAAAAAAATAAAAAAATAAAAAATGCATTCACAAATGCAAGTTGCAACCTAACCAGGAAAAGGAAAGAAATTTATAAAAGTTATGTTTATGATAAATGTATGCAAACAAACATACATACATAGCTACGTGCAAACAATATTTAAATACATCAATTCAGATACTATATGGAGCAAGTGTATGCGCTATACTATTTTTGTGCATTTGTACGCAAAACTTGATGAAACTAAAAATGTGATAAGTGCCTTAGCCATTGTTCCATTTGCATTTTGATTTTGACTTCAATGCATAAAATAAAAATCCAAAAACTTGAAAATTCGGCAAGTGTAAATAAAAATGCAAATGTGTGTATATAATTTCGTACAAAAGCAACACTACTAAAAATGAAGATATAGGTTAGAATTTAACCCAAAAAGCAGAATAAAGTGAAATACTTAACAAATGCCCTAAATAGTTGATTTGAAATATCGTAGATTTTTGATGCATTGGTGAGGCCAAATGGATATCGAATCAAAACGTACAATTTTGTTTTTGAAATGTTTGAAAAGACAACAATTTCACTTTCTCTGCGTTTTCCCACAAAATTTAAATTTTAAAATATATAGTGGGGAGTATTGATGGTAATTTTTGTTAAATATTTGCAAAGTTTTTAAAGCTAACATTTTTTTGTTATTTTTCCATAAAAATGTAGCTTAATTTAAAAAATTTTCATAAATATTTTGAGCTTTTTAATTTGATTTTCTAGAATTTTTTTGAGTATGCAGTTTTGTACCATTTAAATTTTAGTATGATAAAGTGCAAGTTTTAAGCGGCTTGAAAACCGGATTGATTTATTATATTTTTTTCTGACGGCTTTTGTGGGTTTTTTCATTATAGCATTTTATAAAAAGTGACATTTATTTATTTTTTTTTTTATTTTCTTTGCGAACAGTCTTGCGCATGATGCTTGTATGGAAAAAAGTGCAAAAAACCGTAGCCAAAAAAAAATATCGAAAATCCACGCGATTTTCAGCCGCTTAAAACTTGCACTTTATTATACTAAAATTTAATGGGGTACAAAACTCAATAAGAATTCTAAAAAATCAGATCAAAAAGCTGAAAATTTTAATGAATAATTTGTTTGAAGTTTGATTTATATGGTTTTGGTTAAAGCATGAACCACATTTTTATGAGATAAATAAAAAAAAAAATAAATTTTAAATATCTTGCACATATTTAACAAAAATCACCACGTACTCATCACTGCTTCCCACTGTATTATATTTTTCATATCCATGAATTTTTGAAGGAAACAAATATTTTTTTATATAATTTCAATAAATTCACATTTGTATCGTTTCCTTAAAAAACAACAACAAACTTAACAAATGATTATAAAAACCTTTAAGAAAATTAAAGAAAGAATGATGGAAACATAATCAAAGATCATAGAAAATAAGGATGTTTATGGATGGCTTTGTTTATGGATCCCTTAATGAAGTTGCTGTCGCGCACGAAAAATGGTTTTTGGGCTAGAGTGCACGGACGGAGACTTCTATTAAATTCATAGAGAAAACATTTAAAACCGGTATTTAAGCGGTACAAATATGAATTTTGCACTGACACTTAAACGTCCCGACTTTAAAAAAATATTCAGCGGGACAACTTTCTCAAAATCGTTACTGTTGTGCCAGAACCAGTACGAATGGTCACAGTATAAATAGCTTGACCTTGAGCAACTCAGTAAAGGTACATATACAAAACCATGAATATCACAACAATTCATTGCTCTATTGTTACACTCCAAATTTTTTCGGGGAATCGAAAAACAAACCACGCAAATGCGAACGAATACTACGGCTATACGAATTTGTTTACAGAAAACGGAAACGCTGCATTTAAAAGAGGAAGCTAAACAGCTGTCGATCGCTTTCATTTTATGCTTGCTAAGTACTTCTGCTGTAAGAGTGGTTGTCTCGTTATTTGAGAGCTACCCTCGCATGCACATAGCATAATGACCCTTCTAATTGTTTTGTAAACAGTCGTATTTTTCAGTCTCATCTTCATTGTATAAAGCGACTAGTTGGGATTTTAAAATTAATGCTATTTGCTTAGGTTCCCAAATTTTTCATATTCCACCTGTCAACATACATTTTACCCCCGGGCCCGGAGTTTCAATTGCCTGGATTTTTCTAAAAATTAAGTTTTCAAATATAGTTTTAAATATTTTTCAAACTTGATAGAATTTATTATTTAATACTAACATAAGTAGTTACAATTTTAAATTTTATAACGTATTTTTTCTTAAAAAAGAAATGCTAGTTTGTCTGCAATCCTTTTTAGACAACAATTTTGAACGAAAAAAAAGTATTCCATATACCTACTACTAAAAACTGTCCATAATTTGTAGTCCACCGGTTTTAAATCAGGACTGCCGAAGGGCGATTCCTTAGAGGAAGTCCAGTATTCACTTCCCTACTGAAATGGTATTGGAGCCAGATTTTGGCAATTTTAGTTCTATCGACCGGCAGAATATTGCTGGAAAGTTTACGACTAGTTTTGGACAACAGCTTCCGAAACGGTATCTTGATAAACTTTGGGCGATGTTTTGACGTTTGCGTTTAAATTGAACAGCTGGCGGAGATTTGATTTGCTAACCTTAGTTTAAACCAGCCAGCCCATGGACCCTTTTTCATTAACCCTGCTCTGATACGCTTTTTAAACGTGTCGCTCCATTTTTCGCGAAATGAAGATTAAAATCGGTGGTAACTCCATTGATAAATTAAAATTTATTTTTTTTTTAATATTTATAAATAAGATGCCTTTGAATAATAAACAAATATCTGAAAACTTCATATCTTTGAAAAAAAAAAAATTTATAAAATCTTTATTACCATAAAATTAAGGCAAGCAAACCACCCCCATATGGTTACCTTTTCAGCAACCTTCAGTAGGGTTATCTTTCTAGGGTTGAAGAAAACACCCACTGTGCCATGCAATTTAACAAAACAAATTTCTAACACACAAAATATAAATAAACTAAATTCCACGCTTCAAGGCCAGTGTAAAGTAAGCCAGACGCTTACAAAAAAACAAAAAAAAAACGTAAGGTTTAAGATTACAACAATAAAATTTCAAGCACGAAATTTAATTAAAATTCAAAATCAAAGCGCAGCTCTAATTTCCTCGCCGAAGTAAATAGTGAAATAAAATCGAATATAAAACAATGAAATTAGTCAACAACAACAAAAAACATAAAACGGCTGTGCTGTCTGAGCTAAAGAAGCAATGAAAAATACCCATTTGTGAAAAAAACACCAGTTGCAAGCAAACACAGCCATAACAAAAAATAAAAAAACAAACAAAAACACCGGCAAAGGTGACAACAAAATACCAACGGTAACAACAAATCACACCAGTATTGCAACAACAGCACATGCGACACCATTTGATGTTAGTGCGACACCCGAAATAACTAAAACTGGATTAAAAACCGAAAGGGCCAAAAAGGTAAATACCACACAGAAATGCAAATGCATAAATGTTTTTGAATGCATGTACATGTGTATGTATGTATGTTTGTATGAAAATAACAAAAAAATGTATATAAGTATATTCGTATCTGGTGTTGTAAACATGCATTGGGAAATGTACAAATATGTATATTTATTTATGTGTATCTCTACACTAAAAATACCAATAACCCGAACTAATAGGCATTGTAAAAAAGTTGTAAAAAAAAATTAGTGCAATAAAACTGAAGCTTTAATAACTTTAAGCCATCTACGCATCTCCCAATTTTTCTTGAATTATGTTTGTATTCATATCTCTAGCTTTTGACATTATGATTTATTATTATTTACCTTTTTTCAAATCAAATCTAAAAAAAAGTAGTTTAATAAGAATCGTTTTAGTTTTCGTTTTCATGAGGATTTATTAAGGATTATAACTATCTTACTGTTTATTCGTTATCGACTTCATTTGACTTGAAGAAATCATCCTCACTATATTTCATAAATGTGATTCAATGAGTTAAAACATGAACATTTTTTATAAGGGTGGGTAAAAGGAATGTTAATCCCGGGATTACGGGATCCCGGCCTTTTTAAGGTCCCAAAAATACTGGGAGTCTTTGCGCATAATCCCGGGATTTTCGGGATTTGTAATTTGCACTGATGGCAATAATAGCTTCGCCGTTGGTTTTACAGGCCTCGTTGTAGTCGTCCTTCTTTGGTTGTCGTTATTAGAAGGCACACATACTTGCATAATCGCTCGCTATTTGGGTCGAAATGGAGGGGCATCTCAAACATTTCTACTAGGTTCGGTTGTGTAGCTGATACCCAACCTCTCGCCTTGAAGTTTTATGGGATATGTCAGGCTTTAACTACTTTCTGGCGAGCTCATGGGTAAACTTGTCATATCTACTTTATCGATTGCAACTTTGTACAGTTTCATATATCTGCTGTCGTTAAAAGCAACTGGATTAATTTGCCCTTGAAATCAACTAGCGCTCCTTTACTTTTTCCAACGTGGCTTGGACACAATTTCACTGGCTCTTGGGGATCCTGCCCTCCTCCATGTTTTCGTGTAATTTCTTTTAATTTTCCGACCAACAAAGCATCGAGTCCAGGCGCATTATTCGGTGGCATTACTTGTTGATCTACTGGCAAAACTCGAAATAAATTATCTCGCCTACTGCATGTCCTCTTTCTGCTTTATAAAGTCTTCCATCGAGACGTGATCCAACTTGAGCAGTGAGTTAGCTTGACAATGGAGAGTTCGCAAGGGGTAAGGGGTAGTTGTGGTGGGTTGCGGCGTTCTCTGTTGAACTACTTGTCCGTTCAACAAGCTGGCCTTATAATTATCGGCAAAGGCTGTTCTCTGAGTACTGATCATACTACTAGAGAGTACGGAGTGTTTGATGTTTGCTCTGAAGGTCTACCGACAGCTAGCCCCAGGATATGGTAGATATACACATGGCCGCCGATTTGGCGCTCAGTCTTAAAAGCATGACGCTATAGAAGAATCAGCGGTTTTGGCCACGTTTCTGTATATTACACTCTAAATAGTTGTGATTAAGAAACCCTGCACTTCGCCCCTGAACTCATCTTCGACAGGCTCTTCGATCCGAAAATCTTGTCAAGAATAGAGTGGCAAACAGCGGGACCATGGGGAAGGAGGGAATTAAATTTTTACACGGTTGGATCTAAGCTAGGTAATAGTCTGGGATATGGAGTTTTCTCTGACGAATTGGTATTAGAATTATCCGCACGGATTCCGGACCACTGCAGCGTTTATCAGGCAAAAGTTCTAGCCATCAAGGAGGTGGATCTGTACCTTGATAAAAACGCCATAATGAAGACAATGATAAATTTGTTCTCAGATAGCCAGGCGGCCATCAAATCAATGAAGGCGGGAATGCGAAGATCAAATGGTATACAGGAATGCTTGACAGCCCTAAATGAAGTTACCACCACTTTCAAGGCCAGCTTCATATAGGTCCCGGGACATAAAAAATATAGTAGGAAATTGCAGGACCAATAAACAAGTCAGGAAAGGTACCAACTGTTTGATAACAGAGGCAGAAATTAATGATTAGAAATAGCCTAACCCAAGAGGCCAATAGGCCAAGGTTAGATTAGCGCACTTGCAGAACTGCTGGGCTATAGCCGCAATTCGAAAAAAAAAAACAAACAGAAGAATTGCTCAGCCTCCCAAGAAAGGACATTTTGAAGGTCATGGCCTGTGTAAGTAACCGGCCATTGCCTACTTTGTAGGAACTCTTTGAGATTAGGAGTATTTTCCCATGAATTTTAAAAAAGTTGCAGAGATGAGAAAGAGGAAGAAACACTTCTTCTACAGTTGCCCAGCTTTAGCTAAGAGCAGAGCAGACTTTTTAGGCAAACAATTATTTAGCTCTCTCAACGAACTTGGAATAAAAGCAATGCCACGCTTCATAAGAGCTTCTGAATTATTTCATGAATTGTAGTCAATGAGGTTTCTGTGTTTCACAGTGGTATCAGGGTTTAAGTAAGTTGTTCTTTTGGACTGACTGCCCCATTAACCTAACCTAAATAAGCCTCAGGATTTACCGTACTAGACGTATCATGGTATTAGTGGCGGGCACGGTTGCGCCTATTGTATACTCGTTTTGGAGTTTGATGGTTCAGTTATGATTAGGGCAGTTAAGCTGCTTCGTGCGGTATTTCCAAGAGCACTGGACTTACGTTTTAAGTGCGCTGAGGTCTTGCTGTTTGGTCTACAAATTATACGACCGCTCCCTCTAATGAAATTAAATTATTATAAAAATCAAGTCTTACAACTAAGCAAATCATCCGAATGCCGCCAAGCTAATTTTTCAACCGTTTCTCATACTAAACCTTTACTAATAGTGGCTTGTGGAGCAGTTCAAAATTAATATATTACGCATGCGAATTCGTTTAGCTTAAAAAAAAATTTAAAATTGTTTAGATTTCATAAAAGACAGACATTTTTGCCAATACTATTTGCGAGCTTGCGCAAAGAGAAATCTAAAACGCAAGTGATTTAGATACAAACACAATCGCTCACTAACTTCTAGTCATTTTACATGGATAAGCTTTCAAATGTCACTGTCACAGCAAGCGGAATGCTTCAAGTTCAGCGTCACAATTTACATGAAGCAATCACACAGCTATGCAAAGGAATTAGTACGCACAAATTGTTATGCAAGCACGCGCAAATATCGCCATACCACCAACCAGCTTTTTTATTTTGCATCTCCTACCAGTCGCAGCGCTACATACATACTATGTACATTAGGGCGGGTTGATTTTTTTTTTAAATCGTATAGCAAAAGCATAAACTACATAAAATTATAAGAAAATTCTCCGAAGAAACCATGTATCTAAAATAAAATCCTAATCCGCGCCTCTCGACTTGAAAATTTATATGGCCGCCTTTGCCAAAAAAAATAAATGTTAGAACAAATAGGTTTTTCCAAAAAGAAATCGAATTTTCTGAATAAAATTGTTTAGTAAGGTAGTTCTTTTGCCCTTTATATTTCTTCTACACTCAACATTTTTTTTCATTAAAAAAATATTCACCCAAGTAAAAAAGTTTGTATATAATTTTATATTTAATATCTTTATATGGAACATAGATAAAAAAATTTGCTTTCATAATTTAATAAAAAAGATTGGAAATGCAAAATAAAAAAAATTGCACTCAAAAAATTGTTAATTTTCAAGTCGAGGGGCGCGGATTAGGGTTTGATTTTAGACCCATGGTTTCTTCAGAGAATTTTCTTAGAATTTAATGTAGATTACGTTTTTGCTATACGATTTTTATTTTTTTTTCATCCATACATATCAACCTGCCCTAATGTACATACATACATACCTACATAGCTGCTGCGCTTACTGTACAACTTAGTTAGTAAGCGCTTATCGCTCGCAAGTATCTGCATAATAATTTAGCTTTGATTGAAATCTGGCGCTTAGACGCACTTACTCAGCTCTTTTTGCTGTGACTTTGTGGAGCAATAATCTTTGCTGTTTGTTCGCTTATATTTATTTATTTATCTAGTTTTTAATTTTGTTTTTGCATTTCGTTTTGATTTCCTTTTTAGTTAAATGCTTTGTTGTAAATTAGTTTTCTATTTTATATCTTTTATACTTCAGTGCTTTGAGCTTAGGCAACATTTTTTTGGGGCTCAGCGCGAGCTATTCATTTTTTTCGTTATCAAATTAGCATATTTTATTTGCATTCTCAATTTGTTTGGCTTTTTATATGCATATTAAAATTGTGGCCTTTTTTTCTTGCGGTGACAAAGCTAAATGCTGACGAGTTATGAGGAAAAATGAGCAGGCCTTTGTTTTGACCGTAAACTTGATTTTAAGTTAACTAATCTACTTATGGAGTGTGTGTATATCGTAGAATAATTAATTCCATTTGGCTCCATTTTAATAGAAAGATTAATGCTAGAGTTAATAAAGATTTTCCCAAAAATAATTTATTTGCGGATGGATTTTTGCACTTTTTTCATAAAAAAAAAAAATATTTGTGACCGTTCGCAAAAAAAAATAAAAAATATTCAAAGTCAGTTTTTATAAATTGCACGTTTTATATGAAAAAAAACGCAAACGACCGGCGGCATAATAAAAAGTTATTGAAAATCCACGGGAAGTGAGTTCGAAATTTTAATGAAAGTTTGTTGATTTTTTCTATATTTTATATAAACATGTGAGATGTTAACTTGATAAACATTGTGAATATTAAAAACAAATCTATATGCGATTTTTTTTTTCATCACTGTATGCGGCTAGATAATTAACCACTGTCATATGTATTTCCAAATATTTATTATTTAATTTCAAAGTAAATTAATATCACCTTCCTCTGTATTTAACTTTTGCTTGAAAAATTTGTTTCCCTACGCCTCATTTTGCCAACAAAACGCAACAACCTTAGGTGTGTGTTTGTGCGCACATTCGCTAATAATTCATTTCAAAATCCTCAGTAGTTCTTTG